GATTGGTTGACAAGCGGTCCGTAAAAACCCATATCCGGACCGTGGACAGTATTTTCCGTATCTGGACCGGTGTCCCGAATGTCGTTTATCTGGCGGGAAATTTTTGCTTTGCAAACAGAAAAAATTTTGCTTTTTAATTTTCCAATTGTGTGTTATTAAAATTTACAGATAAAAATTTCAAACAACCAAATTGTTTTTTATTGAGCATGCATGCCTACCGTATATTGTTACTCAGTGAAACTGACGATAGGCGATTTAATTCGCGCGAAAAGCATAATTATGCTCACAGATATAATAAACCGATTATTGACCTAGTTCAGCCATATAATAAACCGATTATTGACCTCGCTTGTTCGGCCTGTACTGTGAAACATTAGACCTCTGTTTTTTGCATGGACCTCGCTCCTTCGTCGCTCGGTCTATACTAAAAACCTCGGTCTGATATTTCACAGTACAGACCTCACGCTCGGTCAATAAGCCGTTAGTATCGAAATAGTATAGGTATACTATGGATGATATGCATGATGTACAATGATATCCAAAAGAATAATTCAGTGGACTATTTTTATTTGAAAAGTACTAATTAATCTAGTCTATTTATCGCCGCCATCTTGTTTTCCGCGTTTGCATTTCACATACTTCAGCCTACCCTCCCACGGGACAAAGTGAGTTAAGGTGTCACGTGACCAGCTTGTACCAGGGTCTCTGCTGGAGCGTGTTAAGGAGAGAAGCGGAAGTAGGGAACCTGGCTTGCAAGCCGGTTGGGTTTTGGGAACTGAGTAAGTCGGGTGAATGGACAGTCGCATGAGTGCTGACAAGCACACTTAGCACTCGTTAGCTCCCGGCATAGGCGTACTAAGCTACAAAGGCTATCTTTAAAACAGGGAATGGGGAATCCGGGAATCGGGGAATCCGGGAATCGGGGAATCCGGGAATTCAGAACTGTTAAGACGGGGGATATTAGTGTGCTTGTTGGAAAACGCATTTGCTACTTTGTTTAGAATAATACAGACAATGAACATACAGTATACACTGCGGATCAGTTGTCTTACTATATAGCCGCTTATGCTTATGATATATTATATATGTATAACAGCGCTGTGCACATATGTGATTTTAATTGAACATATAATTTTATTAATTTCAATTAGACATTAGCGTCTATAGAATTTTGTTCCAACGCGCAAGTTTATGCATCATACAGGAAACGGGATAACACGAAAAGCCCACGCTTTATATGTTAAATATTAAAGCGGGCGGGGCGCAATTCGGCGGCGACGAGGTACGGTTTTTATTCACGGATACTTTAAGGTACATTACTGTGGAGTTTAAAAACTCCAACGTCTGCTTAAACCAAATCTGCGCATTTTTAGTTGTTAAAAAATAATCAAAAATCGGTTAATTTTAAAGTACTGTAAGTAATTTGGGATTACAAAGTATCCGTGAATGAAAACTAAAAATATACCGCGTCGCCGCCGCCGCCGAATTGCGCCCCTTGGCTTTAATATTTAACATATAAAGCGTGGGCTTTAGTTTAATGTTATATCTCGTTTCCTGTAAGATACATGCATTTTACAGTCTATTACCGTATTTACTCGTTTGAGCGCGCCCCCGATTGAGCGCCGCCCCCGAATGAGCGCCGCATTTGAGATCAAATTTTTTTAAAGAGCGCCGCCCCCGAATGAGCGCCACACTAAACAGTACTTAACAGTGTAAAAACTTTCCACCGTCAAAATGGGGACATTTAGTGACAAAGACATTTCAAAACTTGTTTATTTTATTGTTAAAAATTGCGGTTGCCATAGAGTATTTTAATAAAACACAAAACAATAGACACTCCGAAAATTGTAAACATTGTAATTCTTTATGAAGAATTACAATGTTTACAATTTTCGGATAAAAGTTTTTTAAAGAGCGCCGCCCCCCGTTGAGCGCCGCCCCCGAATGAGCGCCGCATCTGAAGCTGAAGTAAATATGCTGCATCTGAAGTAAATATGCTAATTCAAAAAACTTGCGCGTTGGAACAAAATTTTATAGATGCTAATGTCTATAATTGAAATTAATAAAATTATATGTTATTAAAATCACATATGCATGTGCACAGCGCTGTTATAATCTATAATATATCATAAGCATGAATTATTTAAGACAACTGATTCGCATTGTATACAGTAGCGAATGCGCTTTCCAACAAGAACATTCATAATATGCTGTGCTGAGTGGTTATATTACTACCTTAAAAAATAAGCAGAAACTCGAAGGGCCTTCGCTCGAAACGTCGAGTTTCTGCTTATTTTTTAAGGTAGTAATATAACCACTCAGCACAGCATTTTCACATTGGTACTATACCTACACTGGTACAGACAGTTTTACATTCATAATATCCCGTCTTATCAGCTCTGGATTCCCCGATTCCCGGATTCCCCGATTCCCTGTTTTAACGATAGCCAAGCTACACATACATACATACATACATACATACATACACTTTATTTCAACACGGAAGAATCATCAGTACAACAATAAAATACAAAATTTAAATATATACAATGTTAGTCAAAAGATAAAAATAATAATTACTGTTTTACATGATTGCCGTGCAAGAGTCCATATACTCAGTATACTATAGGAAATTAGTCAATTCGACTTTGAATGAATTGAGAGAAGGGGCTGATCTGAGCTGTTCTGACAAGCTGTTCCACAGGGAAGCACCACTGTAGCTGAAAGAACGTTTTAAATAGTCTGTTCGAGGTTTTGGAACAGACAATTTATTTAGAGAATTTCTCAGATCATGATTGCTCACTTTGGGTGTAAATAACTGCTGCAAGTATTGAGGAGCACAATTATTATTAACTTTGTACATTAGGATAGCTTTTTGCTTCATGCGATTTTTTGCCAAAACACTCCATCCCAACTCAGAAAGTAGGGTTGCTGACGAAATCTCATACGAGGACCTGGTCATTACCCTAGCCGCACGATTTTGCAGCTTTTGTAGTTTCTCACCCAGTTTTAAACCAATACCATCCCAAACTGGAGAGCAATAAGTAAAATAGGGCTCGACCAGGCCCCTGTATGCCTTCACAGCCGTTTCTCTATTGATGAAGGGTCCTACGCGCTTAAGAGCACTAATACCGGACGAAATTTTTTTTGTAATATTATTGATATGGTTTTTCCAAGTTAAGTGCTCGTCGATTGTTAGACCTAACGACTTTGTAGATTGAACTTTTTTGATCTTTTCATTGTCTACAAAGACATTTAAATCGTTGGTTTCACTGAACTGTTGCAAGTCTCTGACGGGAGCCAATGACCATAATGACTTAATTTTTGCAATATTAAGACTTAATTTATTGGATTGTAGCCAGGTATTTAGATTGATCAATTCCGCATTCATTGCGTCTTCCAACTCAGAAAGATCATGGCTATGAAAAGTTATGTTAGTATTATCGGCATACATTCTTGCTAAACCGTCATTCATACAATTTGGCAAATCATTAATATATAGACCACAAACACGAGAGGTCCAATCATTGACCCTTGCGGATCCTGCATGCATGTTTCTGAATGCAGGATTTTGCCATCTGCTGATATCTTATATTTCAGTTATTTTCAGATTTCATGTCTAGACTCTAGACGACGGGAATTATTAGCCCTCCAAAGTTTAATTTTGCCGCAGACCCCAAACTATTTCAGGGCAACTGCATGTAAGTTCTTATTCAAGACAAAAATGTTGACAAATATCTTCTCCATATATCATAGAAAATCCATGTCCGATAAATTGTCCGCCATATATATATATATTTAAATTCAGTCAGTTAATCCTACACCGCTTGAAAAATACTATAGCTTACTGCTCAGATAAACTACATTAGCGGGTAGTATATATAACATGTGACTGCGTGCAGCTCGTGCAGTATGAAACGCACATAAGGGGAGTTTATGGCAGGAAATATTTTGGCGGCTTGGGGCGCCGAACAAACTAATTTGTTTGAAATACGTTATATTTCGCCCGTCGTAGATTCTTAACGTGCGTTATGCAATAATTTGTCCTGTATGTGCTCCAGTATTTATATAACTGCTGATAGGAGAGCAAACGTTGCAAAAATACGACTTTTTAGCAAGGTTGTATACGATTTTGTGCAAATGTGCGAATTTGGTTTCACACTGTCTTGACCGTCTCGTCGTTTGAATCTAACATAGCTCTTTACCTTCGATAGGCAAATCGGATCTTAGCGACTATTAAGGTAGTATGACATGCAGTCTTGCCAGAAAATATACGACATTGGAGTGGCAATGCAACTTTGACCTTAATTAGATGACATTCCCGTATGAACAGAAAATAAACATGTACGTGCACGGGGAGGGGGCGGAAATTAATTACCATACAAACTTACCTTGGATGGAAGAATAACCAACTTAGTGCCAGAGGTTTTCAACGGATGTTTAGAGAGTTTACAGCAGCGTTTACAGAAAGCGCGTTCAGTGAATAACAGGCTATAGGAACGAGTTCCAATAATGTTTTAGAATTTTAAAATTTAGAATCTGAAGGCATGCGGTACCCCACTGTGGGCATGAAAAAATACACTGACCTGCCATCTTTTACAGTGATATTTTTTGCTCAAGTAAATATAACAAATCCTACAAGTCGATTGGTCAAATTTGACGTATTAAGTTGCTTTATTCACATACAAGTGAATATAACAAAACCAAAATTTTCAAAATGGCGGCTAGCCGTTTTGTGGAAGTTACTGATGAAGAAAAAAGCGAAATTAAAATAAATTCAGTCCCAAAAAACACAAACGACTTGGGTAAAAATACTAAAACAATTATTCGCCTCAGCTCGGTGATTATTGGAGAATATTCACCTCGACTTCGTCTTGATGAATATTCCCCGATAATCATCTCGCCTTCGGCGAGTAATTGTTAATTATTAAACAAGTTAAATGAACAATAAAAATTATTAGTTAATGCTTGGTGTATTGAAGGTATCTATTGGGTTGCACTTAGGTAGGTATCGATTGGGTTGCACGAGTCCGAGAGACGTACGCGTTAAACGTTCGTTGTTCCTTAAATTGCAATTCGCCTCGTGTTTTGTTGGAAACAGACAGTTTACCAATCTTGTGGTTTGGATGCGAAATAGTTGCTTCAAAGAGTTTTTCACATGGGTGTTCATGATGGTCTTGTAATGATTTCACACACATTTTGAGTAGATGTTGGTTAATTCTGTCCTAGAACGATGATAGAAAGTGCTCTTTTCTCTAAACGCACCAGTTCAGATATTAGGTGCTGTGGGAGAGAGTAGAATGCGGACATCACGATATCTTCAATCTTCGCTATAACAGGAGGTTGTCATCGATCAATATTTATTTTGCTACATAATAATTTTTTATTGATGTTGTAGCTTGGAATCCGGAATAGCTCGAGCCTAAAATACTGATGTACAATTTCTGAGTTTGTATTCTTCTCTGAACGTATAATTGTTGTGTGCAAACACTTTGACCATCGCGGTGTCAAAATATGACACACAAATGATAAGAATGAACGCATTAGCAGTCACGTGACGCCGCCAATATTTCTGCCACACCTTTTGCGTCGGAATGTCATAAGAGTGAATTTGAATGAACATTGAAATTATGTTAAACACAAAATCTATGCCCAGACCTATGGCTATCCTAATTATAGCATCGTTTATTACTTGCCAATGCGGGACTTCATAGCTCATTACAAGATAACAGGCTAAATACGACTGACTAAAAATGATGGAAGAGTACTCGAATAAGATATTCTGAATTTCAAGATCTGCGTTGAGTCGGCGAATACGAGGAGAATTTAAAGGACGCACTTCTAATTTTGGTCCACACCATATTCTATTAAAGCATCTAATCAAAAACTTCCAAATTTTTATACGAAGGTGAAGAGTTGCCTTACTTAGCACGTTCGAGACTCCATGTAGCAATGATAAACCAACGAAAAGCCAGATATTTTGAAAACCTGACTGCAATGTTCTGTACAGTACAATTGACCCCCCGCGTAAGAAATAACAGAATACAAAAGCACGATCTGGAGAAATAAACTCGGAGCTCTTTCTGAGGGGAAGGTATTTTGCAACTGCAGTCATTGGAACGATTAATCCTGGCGCGAGTGCAGCAATAATGGCTTTTTTGATCCTGCCTTCAGTTTCTTTGAAATATTTGACGATAATAAAAATGTAGATATAAGAAAGCAAACACGTACCCAGAAAAATGGACGACAGGATGAAAAAGATGTGGAACACGCTGTAGGAGGTGGCCGAGTTAACTTTCTTGAATTTACGAGCAACTAGGTAAGCACCAAGTATAATCGACAACAAGAATAGGAAATCGTTGGGTAATCTAAAACACAACAAAGAAACAAGTCACGCAGTCGGTAAGAGTCCAGGTTCGTCAACAAACCGCTCAGGACAAGTCCAACTGATGGTAATATTGATCGTTAAATTGGTTATTAATGAGTATTCCCAGGAAAACTTGTCGCGTTGTATTTTAATTATATCTACTGGGCATCCATTTAGGATTTTAGATCAACAGCTAATCAGAGCAACTCAATTTAAGTTGTGAAACAATGCAAATTTTCGCTGTGATTGCAGATTCTGTTATCACGTGAGTATATTTCCTATAAGGTACAGAGTCTCGTTTTCGCGATCTTGGTACACCCTTCCGGAATAAAGAACGTCACCTTGGCTATAGAGCCTCGTGTTCATGTATGTGACATTAGTTAAAGCTCAACGTCTCAGTCACGAATACGAAGATCCAAAACCAAGGCGACGTAATTTCCAGAAGCGTATATTAGAGCGTCTCAAACTCATTAATAATTCATTAGTAAATTAGCCAACCACATTGCTTTATTTTGCTCACATAATAACACTGGATACCTGGTGAAGCTAGTAAAGGTGAAGTATATTGATCCAGTCCTTGGACTGGATCAAAGTTAATTCACCTCGCTTTAATTAAGTAGTGTTTTATACGTCTGAGATGTCATTTTAAATCTTCCAATTCGGACTGGACTAGATTTCACGTCCTCGCATTTTGATCCAGTCCTCGGCTTTGCCTCGGACTTCATCAAATTGCGAGGACTTGAAATCTAATTATATTAAATTTTGTAGGATATAGATCCCGCCCCTTCCCTCCCCCTCTCGATGAGTCTGAGTTAATGTGTTTTATGAGGAATTTAAAGCGGTGAATTGGCAAACATTTGAGAACCAGTACCACTCGGAAAGCATACAGTCCTATAATATCATTGTATAACCTAAAACATGTATATATGTGATCATATACTAACATGTATACGTTGTCGTTCGTCATCGCTAACTTGTCAAACATAACAATTTTATAAACACACGTGATGGATCCTGTCACCAGCAGAATGACACATAAAAAGCAAAGATAGTGCTTTTTGAACTCTTTGAAACCCCACAACATGGCAATACAGACTGGAAACCATGACATCACCGGAAGTACTGAAACAGACATACCAACCATTTGTAGGACTTGCACACGCGATGGAACTTTGAGATTGTTATGCATCCATTCTATACACGCATTAGTTGTACTCAAGTCAAGAAAAACCGCTCCAACTATCAGAAAACCTAATATAAAAACGACTGCCGTTATTAATCCGATATTTGCCTTACAACTTCGAAGAAATGATTCACAGAAACTTCTCCTGGTTTGTTCATCAACGTGCAACAAAATAGATATATTTTCTTCGTCATATAAAGGTAACCCGGTCGGTTCGTCTTGCTCGTACTCACGGTGTACCAAATCATCGAACGCTTCGCTTTGTTCAAGATTTCCTTCATGTAATATTGCATAATCCTTTTGTAGATTTTCTCGGGAGATTGGTGGTGTTTGTATTATCAAGCTTGAGACAAGTGACACAAAACTTCCAGCTAATTCTTCCAGAATCATTTTTCCAGTATCAATGTATATGTATTACTTATTCTTTCGTCTGGATATGTAACAGTGTGCCGAGGTTTATCATAACTCAAAAGGAATACGTAAATAATTGTGTTTATAAATTTGAACTGATTTTAGTATATGACTAGAGCATGTGCGGAGAATTGTCGGTTTCTTTCTTGCCGTGACGATGGCTGATGTTTCATTCTCATTGTGTTAAAAGTGCGATTTGATTGAAAGCGAAATATTATGACCCGCTCATGCTGGTCGTGATTACATGAGAAACGTAGGGTGCCTGTTTATATGAGAAACGAAACATTTGCTTGAGCGATGTTTTTCATCTGATTATAGGGACGGGATGCGTGCCATATTAATTTGTAGTATAGAGGAGGGACAAAATTCAGCTTTTTTGCATCAAAATTAGTATTTCTTATTTCTGAAGACAATTAGGATTCGCAAAATTCAGTGGCCCATTAATACACGCTAACACGCTTTCGGAAAGTACGTCAACTTCGCTATAGAATTTGTTTTCGTGGTTTGGACATTGGACTTTAAGTAATGTCACATAGACGAAAACGAAACTGTGACGTCTTTTCGAAAGCGTGTATTCCAATCAAAGCTGCATGGTGAAATAATTAATATTGGCCTGGTTTGATGAGATAAAAAATCAAATGTCAAATAAACGACCCCATTTGAGCTGCGAACGAAAACAAAAAAGTGCAACATAAATTGAAAGCGTTGGGCAGAAGTGAACAATGTCAAGCTAGGTCCATGCATGCGGGTTGCTATCACCGTTCCGTTCCAGCAATCGTCTCCGCCCGCCTCTCATGCACTCTATGTAAATTTTCTCTTGCTTCTATATAGAATACCACAATGGTTTTAAACTATTAGAGCTCTGCAGTGATGTGTAAATTTACACAATTTATCGATGTTGCTATAACATCAAAATCGTATCAGTTGACCTGTAGAAACTGAATCATATATAGTGTTAATTTACACAATTTTCTTGGTGTTCCCACTATACACTAAATTTATAGTGTATAGGCTAAATTTATTGCAGATGTGTGGACATTGATGGAGAGTTAACTTGCACAATTTCTGGGTGTTCCTACGTTGCACCAAACTGAATTATATAGCTATGAATGGATGCAGCTGATTAAAGATTGATTTAGTGCAAATTTACACCTTACGATTTACACTAATTTAGTAATCATTTGAGCAAACTAGCGCGCTCAATTCTCGTCAAGTAAGAAATGAAGTAACTAAGAAAAACTATAACAGCACTTGTTTATTTCGTATATTAAAGAAACGGAATCGTAGGTGCAGCAGCTGTAGAATCGTCTTGCTAATTCAAGAGAGTTTCAGATCTACAACGCGGCAAGTCAGGGACGCGCCTTCATAACAACGAATTCTTCATGCAAGACAAGAACTATGAATAATTTTGTGGTCCCATGCAGGGATATCCTCAACAGCTATAGCGTTATCATTCTGAATACAGAGAGTTAAGCTAAGCATTATCACGTCTTTGCAGCAACGGGAAAGCTAATTTCGACGTTTGATGTGTTACATATAAAGTCCGCCTTATAACAAACATCATGCACAATATCACTTACTCGAACCGACCTGACCGCGTAGCTCAGTTGGCAGAGCATTGAGCTAGTATCCAAAGGTCGTAGGTTCGATTCCCACCGTGGTCGGGCATATTTTTTCAAGCTCGCCCGGTGTGGATATACACTCAGAGTAACATCACAAACATAATGCTAAAAAAGTTGCATAAAATGGCCTATTAAACTAATATCAGTGCAATTGCCATTCACTCATGAGTATACATATATTGGGTATTTCTTTGAAGCTAACTTAAATTTCAAATTATTTCCCATTGAATTAAAATTTTTGTTACCTTGTAAGCCAGAATCTTCATAATATTTTTTATATTTCTTAGCTTAGGAATTAAACTAGCACAAACAAATGACAAACGTTAACACCTATTATGAAACATATAAGACAACGTCGTGAGGCCTTAATTCGCATTAACAAACAGTCGAATAGTCTTTGGTGGCATCAGTGCAGAGTTTTTCCTGCCATGCAACGTACTTTAGGACAAGCTTTTTCAGTTGATGTAATATTTATATTGAAAAAAGCCTAAATGGGTAAATGCGTTTTTTTTCGACAACTGAAACGATATATTAGATCTTGTGAATAGATCTAGTTCATTCGTGCAGAAACAGTTTTAATAGGCCATTTTATACAAATATTTTGCAGTCAAAAATTCTTGTTCGATTTAAAGCATTGATATCTCGGTTAATATTTTTTAAAATTGCGTCGTGATATACACGCACGAGCCTCCCTGGGATTGTCGGCTGGTCGCGCGAGGAAATTGAAATCCTGATTTTTTTGACGTCACATAGATACTAAAATAAATGTATTTTTCTCCTGTTTCCTTCGGTAAAATTTTTTAAAACTTCACACGCTTTCCTGTAATCTTGAAGTGCGCAAAATGTGCAAGATTTAAGAAAATCGTAACAGTCAATTTTTTATTATTTCAAAAATAGGGCGCTTTTTGAGGATTAAAAAAATTCTCGTACGATTTTTTTAAATGCTATCATTTGAAGGAATTATAGATAAGATTGCTGCGTGCAAAAATTATAAAGTTTTACCGAAGAACTTTCAAAAAATTACCAAAGAATCTGCAAATTGGCCCTTGTTAAAATCGCTTTGTTACCATGGCAACGTGGATTTTAACGACATTTTTATTTTTCGTAATTCACGTTGTTGTAGCAGTTATGTGCCAAGTTTCGAGATCATAGTTTGCAAGATGATAAAATAATGTGGCTTTTTTAATACAATTGTGTCAGTACAATCAAAACTGAAGGAAGCCACCTTAACATTAAGCGGGATCATATAAACAGCCCCTTATTCAGCAAATTGCGCATGCTCCCTTGCTTTTGATCCCTTGGGGTGAGGCAGCACTTTCCTTGCGATAGTAACTTCTAGTTTACATAAAAATATTGTTGTTGAATTTATCAAAATTTAAGTGAGCCCTTTCAGGTCACGATTAAATGTGTTGGATGATAATATTATAACTCATCTAGCTTTTCTATTATATTAAATCAAACAGTGTATAGTTTTGGGGGAACACCCGCGTGTCCAAAATTAATGTAGTATTTGATTTCCGTATTCCCCGTAGCTATTTGATTTCCGTATTCCTGTAGTGAAATCTATTGCAAGAGTCCACATGCACAAATGGTTTGGCTGTCCTGTTCATGTAGCAGTATTTAATGATGAGAAAGAAGAAATAACTCACTTGAGCACGGCAAAAAGAGCGGGGAATTCTTCCCTGATCTGATTTGGAAACATAGTAAACCTATCTTGTAATTATTTTTGAAAAATATTGTGTTTTGAGCAAAATGAAACTACTATGACGTGTACAATTCTGATCCACAAATGTCTTTTCCACATTTATTTACATATTTTTCTTTGAGAACATGCATTGCTAAAGGATTTTTTTCAAGATCCAGAAATGATTTTTCTTTTAATTTCGGATATGAAATGTAAAATGTATTAAATAAATAAATTATAAGTTAAAAAACGGGGGTCACCGATCTTTTAGGGAATTGTGGCATTACAACTTGAAATACAAGCAAATAAATATACTACAGACACAGGAACCCTAGCTACACTTTTGTATGCCTTTTTTGAAAACATGTAATAACCAAAGATGTTTGAAGTAACATAAAATTGTCATAAAATGATAGACTTTTTAAACGGTACGTGTAATGGATGAAATTATAAGTCATAAGATATGCGCAGTAAAAGTGCGCAATGCAAAACTGCGGAATTACCTTAAATGGCTTTATCGATAAACTTTGAGTTTGAAATAAAATGATTTCAAATTCTCGCATGCAAATAACTTTGCTTTCTTTTTTATTTAAAAAATTCAAAATAATAAAAAAGGGAATCAATATTAAAGATACACTGAAATTATATACTGTCTTGTTTAGTTGTTTCATATACGCAAAAGCCATCGGGTTTTAAAGCAATTATAAAATCAATATTTAAAACAAACTTACCTTCGTTAACGTCGGCTCCCTTCTTTTAGCCGATTCTTTCGCCCTTTCTTTCTGAGAAAACTTTTGAAATTTACAAAATCTTGCAAGAAATTTATCAATCATCAAATCAAGAAATGTTTGCTATTTCGCTGCCGTCATGCAGTCGTTATAATGGAAACTTTAAATTCGACCAATCAGTGTCCGCTATTCATGACAGTCCGCCATATTTTTGAGATCAGTGAGGATGACCACTCATCGTTGGTGACCCACGCCCGCGATCATTGATGAACTTTAGACTATAATTCGCTAATGCTTTCGTTTCCCCGGGGGGAAAGGGGGGGGGGGGGGGGGGGGGAATTAGTACCTTCGCACGGCGCTTCGCGTCGTCGGCTCGGGGATAACTTAAATTTGTTGAATAAGAACAATCAGCCATCTATTCGAGCAATGGTTGGCATGGTCTAGTGTATAAAAACAATGGTGTATAAACGCGGGAAAATGTTGAAATCAATTCAAATAAATACCCTTAGCTTGATAGACTATAACGAGTGCATATGCCCAATGTTCTCGATCATAACAGTGATATAAATAGAACTGGAAAGCTACCTTCAGATATACTGCGGCCTTCTTTTTCTTGAAATGAAAAATCTTTCTGAGGGTCAAGACACGCGTGTTTACGTCTCGCGAGATCAGTTCAATAAACAGTTATTAGAAAAAAATAAGAAAAAACTAGAAGTAAAGTCTACTAGGAAGTTTCATATGAATAAATGCATTAATAGAAAGCTTCGAGCGCTGTTATAAAAAGCTTTTTTGTTAATTTAAAGCCGGTTTTCAACAATACGTATTCTTGTAAACAAATTGACCGCGCTCTTCGCATGCGTGAAAAGACTGGAACTATTCTTCAAGTTTGGCTTCCAATTCCCGTTTGGAGGAAGCGTTCCAGTTATATTCATTTTACTGGGCTTT